GAGCCCGCTGCCACTGCTCGCCGTTCGTGCACGCGCTGATCCCAGAGCTGTAGCTGATGACACTTGGCTCCACCTTCGCCTCCCGCATCTCGCTGAGCAGCGGGAGAGCCTGCTGCCACTGCTCGCCGTTCGCACACGCGCTGATCCCAGAGTGATAGCTGATGGCATCGTCCAACCTCACTGCCCACATCTCGCAGAGCAGCGATAGAGCCCGCTGCCACTGCTCGCCTTTCGTGCACGCGCTGATCCCAGAGCTGTAGCTGATGACACTTGGCTCCACCTTCGCCTCCCGAATCTCGCAGAGCAGCGAGCGAGCCCGCTGCCACTGCGCGCCGTTCGTGCACGCGCTGATCCCCAAGGCTGATCCCAGAGTTGTAACTGATGCAGCTGGCCCCCACCTCACTTCCCACATCTCGCAGAGCAGCGATAGAGCCCGCTGCCACTGCTCGCCTTTCGTGCACGCGCTGATCCCAGAGCTGTAGCTGATGACGCTTGGCTCCACCTTCGCGTCCCACATCTCGCTGAGCAGTGGGAGAGCCTGCTGCCACTGCTCGACGTTCGCATACGCGCTGATCCCAGGGCTGTATCTGATGCCATTCGGCTCCAACCTCACTTCCCGCATCCCGCTGAGCAGTGGTAGAGCCCGCTGCCACTGCTCGCCTCTCGCGCGTGCGCTGATCCCAGAGCTGTAGTTGATGACGCTTGGCTCCGCCATCACCTCCCGTCTTCCTCCTCCCCCCCCACGTCCTGACTCCCTGGCTCGCTGCCACTGCCTGCTGACGTCGAGCGCGGTTGTCTTCGCCTCCTCCTCCTCCTCGACCTGGTCCTGCTCGTCCGTTGCCTTCTCCTCCTCTTCTATTTCCTCCTCTGCCGCCTCGCTCTCCTCCCTGGCTCGCTGCCACTGCCGCTGCCCATTTTTCGCACGTACGCTGGCCCCATCGATGCAACTGATGACGTTGGGCCTCAGTTTGGGAATCAGCAGCGCCACAGCCTGCTGCCACTGCTCCCTTGTCTCGCAGGCGCGGCTGGGTCTGGGCTCCAGGCGGGGGTGGGGCGGGCGGGGGACGGAGGACGAGGGGGCGAGGGGCACGAGCCGGGCCCGAACGGCGAGGGGCGAACGACGCGGGGGCAGGGGGCGAACGAGACGGGACCGAGACGAGGGGACAGAGGCCGAGGGAAAGGACGGTGCGCGTCGTTGCTGCTGGTCGTTGCAGGTGGTGCCCGTCGTTGCTGGGGGTCGTGTTGCCGGTCGGAATTGGTGCTGGTCGCAGTCGTGGTGGTGCTGCTGCTGGTCGTGGTCGTGTTGGTGGTGCTGCTGCTGGTTGAGGTCGTGGTAGTGCTGCTGCTGGTCGCAGTCGTGGTGCTGCGAGTCGTAGTCGTGGTGGTGTTGGTGGTCGCAGTCGTGGTGGTGCTGGTTGTGCTGGTGGTGCTGGTCTTGGTGGTGGTGCTGCTGCTGCTGGTCGCAGTCGTGGTGGTGCTGCTGCTGGTCGCAGTCGTGGCGTTGCTGGTCGCAGTTTTGGTGCTGCTGGTCGCAGTCGTGGTGGCGCTGCGGGTTGCAGTCGTGGTGGTGGTGCTGGTAGGTTCTGCGGCTGGTCGCAATCGTGGCGCTGCTGGTCGCAGTCGTGGTGCTGCTGGTCGCAGTCGTGTTGGTGCTGCTGGTCGCGGTTGTGGTGGTGCTGCTTGCGTGGTGGCGCTAGTCGTAGTAGTGGTGGTAGTGCTGGTCGCCGTCGTGGTGGTGCTGGTTGTGCTGGTGTTGCTGGTGGTGCGGTTGGTCGTGGTGGTGGAGCTGCTGGTGGCAGTCGTGGTGGTGCTGCTGCTGGTCGTGGTCGTAGTGTTGCTGCAACAACAGTGTTGCTGGTGGCAGTCGTAGCGCTGCTGGTGGCAGTCGTGGTGGGGCTGCTGGTCGCGGTCAAGGTGGTGCTGCTGCTGGACGTGGCGGTGCTGCTGCTGGTCGCAGTCGTGGTGGTGCTGGTTGTAGTCGTGGTGGTGCTGCTGTTTTTTGTTTCTTTTCTCTCTCCGCCCAAGGCAGCCGCGTTCCCCCGGCGGCCAGTCCGAGCCCCCCCCGCGCGCCCGCGGTGAGTGCGGGGCGGGGGCACGCCCCGAAGGAGCGGGAGGTTTTCGGCCGGAGCCAGGAGGACCTCGAACCTGCCGCGGGCGGGCCTTGGCGCAGAGAGCGCCCGCGCTGCCGCGGCGTGGCGAGCAGGCTCGCTCAGCCGCCACCTGCAGGCCGCAGCCGCCGCGCTGCCCCAGCTTCCGCCGCCGCCGTCGCGGCCGTCGGCCAGGCGGCCGCCAGCGTGGCTGCCTCCGCCTCCGCCGCTGCCGCCAGCGGCCGCCGCTGCCCGCCGCTCGCGGCGCGGCCTGCCTGTCGCGACCTGGCCTGCCCGCCAGCCGCGCCTGGGCCTGCGCCAGCTGCCGCGGGGTTCTGAGCAGCGCCCCAGGCGCAAGGCGGCCTAGCGCCAGCTGCCTCGCCCTCCTGGCGCGCGCTGCCTCCTTCTCTGCTTCCTCGGCCGCGCCCTCTCATTCTCCGCCTCGGCGCAGCTGCGGCGGGGGTCTGGGCGTGGGGCCCGTAGGCGGGCGCGCTGTAGCCCCGTCCCACGCCCGGGAGGTGGGGCCCGCAGGCGGGTGCGCGGTAGCTCCGTCCCACCTCCCACCCCCGTTCCGCTTCTGGGGCCGGCTCGTCGCCAGCAGGCCCCTGTTCCTCTGCGTTCTTGGAGCGGGGGCCCAGGCGCGGGGCCCGCAGGCGGGCGCGCGGCAGCCCCGTCCCACGCCTGGGAGGTGGGGCCCGCAGGCGGGCGCGCGGCAGCCCCGCCCCACCTCCGGCCCCCGCTCCATTCTGGGCCCCTTCCTGGCCGTCTTCGTCGCGCTGCTGCTCGTCGCGGCCGTGGTGGTGGTGGTGGTGGTGGTGGCGGTGCTGGTGGTGGTGCTGGTGGTGTCGGTGCTGGTGGCAGTCTTGCTGCTGGTGGCGGTGGTGGGTCGTGGTGGTGGGCCGTGCTGCTGGTGCCGGTGGCAGTTCTGCTGGCGTGGTCGTGGTGGGGTGGTGGTGGTGGTGGTGGTGCTGGTGGCGTCGGTGCTGGTGCTGGTGGCAGTTCCGCTGCGGGTCGTTGTCGTGGTAGTCGCCGTCGTTGTGCTCGTGGTTGTGGTCGCGGTGGCGGTAGCTGCTGCGTCGCTGCTCTGTGTCGTGGTGGTGCTGGCGCGGGCTCGGGCGTTGGTGCTGCGGGCTGTCGTCGTCGCGCTGGCTGTGGTGGTGCTGCTGCTGCTGGTCGCCGTCTTCGCGCTGCTGGTCGCCGTGGTAGTGGTTGTGCTGGTGGCGTCGTTGCTGGTTGCTGTCGTGGTGGTTCTGCTGCTGCTGTTGCTGCTGCTGCTGCTGGTCGTCGCTGCGCTGCCGTCGGTGGAGGTCGCAGTCGTCGTCGTGCTGCTGGTGGTGCTTGTGCTGGTAGCCATCGCTAAGTTGGCGTTGTTGTCGCTGCTGGTGGCCGTGGTAGTGGTGGTGCTGGTTGTCGCCGTCGTAGTCGTAGTGGTGGTGGTGGTGCTGGTCGCTGTCGTGGTGGTTCTGCTGCTGCTGCTGGTCGTCGCGTCGCCGTTGGCAGGGGTCGCAGTCGTCGTCGTGCTGCTGGTAGCGCTTGTGATGGTAGCCGTCGTAGTGGTCGTGGTGCTGGCGCTGCTGGTAGTCGGCCCCCGCTGCCCCTCGCGCGGGGGCCCGCGTCCTCAGGGGAGCGCCGACAAGAGGTCCCCTCGCCAGGGTGCTTCTCCGTCCGTGGCTAGCGTCTCGCTGGGCACGTCCTCTAGCAGGCTGGCCGCAAGGGCGTCGTGAATGGCGAAGGACAGCATGCCAGCACACCTGTGCAGCAGCGCCGTTGTCAGCGACCCTCGGAGCGCAGCTGGCGCGCCCCTGGCCCGGGCCCGCGCCAAGACCACGAGGAACTTGTACGCTTCCTCGTCCCATCGTCCGCCGTTTCTGCTCCAGCAACCAAGAGGTAGCTGCGCCGGGAGCCCGCGAGCTCGGGGTAGGTGGTCGTGTTGCTGCTGCTGGTGGTCCTGCTTGTTGTTGTCGCTGTAGTTGTAGTGGCCGTCGTGGTGCTGCTGGTCGCCGTGCTGCCCCTGGTCGGCGTCGTGGTGGTGGTGGTGCTGGTCGCCGTGCTGGTGGTGGGGGCGTTGCTGGTCGTAGTCATAGTGGTTGTGGTGGTGGTGGTGGTGATGGTGGTGGTGGTGCTGCTGCTGCTGCTTGTTGTTGTCGCTGTAGTTGTATTGGTTGTCGTGGTGCTGCTGGTCGCTGTGCTGCTCCTGGTCGCCGTGGTGGTGGTGGTGGTGGTGGTGGTGGTGCTGCTGGTCGCCGTGCTGGCGGGTGTGGCGCTGCTGGTCGTAGTCGTGGTAGTTGTGGTGGTGGTTCTGCTGCTGCCGCTGCTGCTGCTGCGTGTTGTCGCAGTTGTGGTAGTAGTTGTCGTGGTTCTGCTGGTCGCCGCGCTGCCCCTTGTCGCCGTCGTGGTGGTGGTGGCGGTGGTGGTGCTGCTGCTGCTGTTGCTGCTGCTGTTGCTTGTTGTCGCAGTTGTGGTAGTAGTTGTCGTGTTTCTGTTGGTCGCCGTGCTGCCCCTGGTCGCCGTCGTGGTGGTTGTGCTGGTCGCCGTGCAAGTTGTGGTGGCGCTGCTGGTGGTAGTCGTAGTGGTTGTGGTGGTGGTGGTGGTGGTGCTGCTGCTGCTTCTGCTGCTGCTGCTTGTTGTCGCTGTATTGGTAGTTGTTGTCGTGGTGCTGCTGGTCGCCGTGCTGCCCCTGGTCGCCGTCGTGGTGGTGGTGGTGCTGGTCGCCTTGCTGGTGGTGGTGGCGCTGCTGGTCGTAGGCGTGGTGGTGGCGGTTATGCTGCAGCTGCTGCCGCTGCTTGTTGTCGCAGTTGTGGTAGTGGTTGTCGTGGTTCTGCTGGTCCTCCTGCTGCGCCGGCGGGCGGGCCCACGGGGTGGGGCCGCGCCCGTTCCACCGCATCAGAAACACGGCGGCAGTCGGCTAGGGGCCGGCGTCTCCGTGCAGCGGGCGTCCGCCAGGAGGTCGGCGAGGTGCGGCTCGTCCCCGTCGACGGCCAGGGTGTGCGGCGGCAACTCCAGCAGCGCGGCCGCGAACGCCCTCTGGGCCGCGACCGCGGCCAAGCCTGTCCAGCGGTGTAGGTACGCCGCCCGCGCCGACGCTCGGAGTCGCTGCGGCGCGCTGCGGGCTCTGGCCCTGGCGAGCAGCCGGACGAAGGTCAGGGCCTCCTCGGACCACCTGCCGCCGACTTCCAAGCCCAGCACGACCAATCGGCATCTCCTTGACCCGATGACCTCGGGGTAGGTCGCTTCCTCCCGGCCCCGCGCGACCGCGAGCTGGACTCCGTCCTCGTCCGCGGCTCTGGGCTGCGCGGTGCCGTCGGCGCGGACTGGCGACACCAGGGTCGCGTCAATCGCCAGCTGCGCTCCTCCCCAGAGCGGCAGGCCGTTCGCGATGACCTCGATCTTGCGCCCGTCGCGGGGGTCGACGCCGTCCACGTTGAGGTCTCGCAGGAGCTGATTCTCTGCGACTCGGCCCCCGGCCTCGCGGCAGATACGCGCAGCCGCTTTCTCCAATGGGATGGATCTCTTCTTGAGCACCCCTGCCCATGGGCACGCCGCTCTGCGGTCACCTCTGGCGCCCAGTCTGCCTCTGCATCTGCAAGCGCTCGCTGCGAAGGGTAGATCAAATCGCAGGCGCCTGAGGAGCAGGACTCTGAATTCTGCCGGCGGGATGTAGAAGTCCCCCGTCGTGGGCAGCGCGGTGAAACAAAAAAAAAAACAAAAAAAAAAAAAAAAAAAAAAAAATAAAAAACAAACAAAAAAAAAAAAAAAAAAAAAAAAAAGAAAAAAAAAAAAAAAAAAAAAAAAAAGAAAAAAAAAAAAAAAAAAAAAAAAAAAAAAAATAAAAAAAAAAAAAAAAAAAAAAAAAAAAAAAAAATAAAAAAAAAAAAAAAAAATAAAAAAACACTAAAAAAAAAAAAAAAAAAAACAAAATAATGAAACAAAAAAAAAAAAAAACACAAAAAAAAAAAAAAAAAAAAAAAAAAAAAAAAGGGCTCGTCTCGCGCACGGCCCGCTCTGTGACCGGAGGAGGGCGCGGTCCGGTGGCGTGGAGGCGTCGAGGAGCTGCTGTCGGGCTGTGTTCTCCAAGACTCTGGCGGCCCAGAACTGCCAGCCGCGCGCCCATTCGCCGTGCTCCCGTTCGTGCGTCGGCGGTGGCCAGGCGCCCTGCGCAAGGTCGTGCCAGTTGGGCGCGGCGAAGCCGTGTGCCGAGAGGTGCTCCTTTGCCCTGCTGGCTTGTTGTAAGCACCCGGGAGCGGCCGGCAGCGGGCCCCGGTCCAGCTCGCTCAGTGCTGCGCAGATCTGGTTTGTGAGCTCGGGGCAGCGTTCGCGGAGCATCTGCGCGCAGTCTGCGCAGTCTGCCCAGGAAGCCCACCAGGCCGCCGGCGCCGTCCTGGGCGCGCTTCGCAGGCCGAGCCCCCCCATGCAAAGCGGCAGTTGGCAGCGTTGGCGCGCTGACGTGCCTTCTGCGACAGCTTCTTGCGGGAGTTCCAGCAAGTCGGCGAGCGCGTTGGCCAGGTTGTCGTCGTGCGCTGCGGCGAAGGCGGCCGTCTGTCCTCGGGAGCAGCGCCCTCAGGAAGAAGTTGGCCCGGGGGTTGGCGCACATGCTGAGCAGGAGCCACGAGGATTGCAGGTCCCCGACGTGTGGTATCCTCGCGAGCAAGCGGCGGTGTTCTTCCAGGATGGCGTCCAGGTGTTGGGCGACGAAAGCTCTGTGGCCTATCGGGGCCCCCAGAACGACCAAGCCCTGGGCTTCCGGCGGCGCGTCTGCTCCTCCTACCCACACCCGGTCTGCTGCTGAGCCCAGCTCTCGGATGCCAAGTGGCTCCTGCCCTCCCCTGTTCCAGACTCGCGTCTTCCCCATGTTCACGCTGATGCCGCAGTGCGCTTGGAGGGCGCCCCGCACGGCGTTGAAGAGGAACCTCGCTCTGTCTGGCGTGCTGACCAAGTACACGTCGTCAAGGAAGGCGAAGATGCGCCCCCCGGGCCGGAGTATGCCTTGGACCTGTTGCAGGGCGGGGTGTTGTCCCAAGGCAAACAGGGCTGGCATGAGCGGGTCTCCTTGCTCTCCTCCTTCCGCCTGGTCGATCGCGCGCCCTTGTCCCGCGTCGTCGTGCCACCAGTACTGCGACCTTTCCCCGTAGAAGAGGCGGCAGAAGGGAAGCAGTGCGCTACCTGGCCAGGTTTGCTAATCCTTTTTTTTTTTCCTTGCGCGGGCTCACGCCAAGCCGAGGCCGCCGCGCGGGGCCCCTGCAGTGGCCCGCCGCCCGCCGCCGTCGGCCTAGGCCTCAGGCCCGCCGCCCCCCGCCGCCGCCGCCGCCCCCGTCCGCCCCGCCGGCCGGCGGGCGGCCGAGCCCGGCCCCACCTCGGCGCCCCCCGCCTCCGCCAGCCAGCGCGCCGCCACCCTCGCGCCTCGGCCGGCCCCTGGCGGGCCCCAGCCAGCCGCAGCCCGCCGCCTCCGCCTCCGCCCCCTCGCAGCGGGGCTCCGCCGGCCGCGGCGCCTCGTCTCGCTCCTGGCGCGGCTGCGCTGCGGGGCCCCCCTGGCCGCCCCGAGAGTCGCGGGCGTTCTAGCCCCACCCTCACTCGGGGCCCGCTCTGGCGTGCCTCCCCGAGCCCCTCCTAGCCAAAGGGCGGCGGGGCCCCCGCGCTGCCGCCCTCCGCCTCCTCGCCCCAGCGCCCGCCTCCTCCTCCGCCTCCTCGGCCTCTGCGGCCTCCGTCGCGGGCCCAGCCGCTGCCGCCGGCCCGCCGCCGCCAGCCGCCGCCGGCCGCCGTCGCCCCCTGCCGCGCCGGCGTCCGCGCGGGCCCCGCCGTGCTGCTCCTGGTCGCCGTGGTGGTGGTGGTGGTGGTGCTGCTGCTGCTGGTCGCCGTGCTGGTGGGTGTGGCGCTGCTGGTCGTAGTCGCAGTGGTTGTGGTGGTGGTTCTGCTGCTGCTGCTGCTGCTGCTGCTGCTGCTGCTGCTGCTTGTTGTCGCTGTTGTGGTAGTGGTTGTCGTGGTGCTGCTGGTCGCTGTGCTGCCCCTGGTCGCCGTCGTGGTGGTGGTGGTAGTGGTATTCGTGCTGGTGGTGGTGGTGGCGCTGCCGGTTGTAGTCGTAGTGGTGGTGGTGGTGGTGGTTATGCTGCTGTTGCTGCTGCTGCTGCTGATGCGGGTGCTGCCGCTTGTTGTCGCCGTAGTAGTAGTAGTTGTCGTGGTTCTGCTGGTCGCCGTGCTGCCCCTGGTCGCCGTCATGGTGGTGGTGGTGGTGGTGGCTCTGGTCGCCGTGCTGGTGGTGGTAGCGTTGCTGGTCGTAGTCGTAGTGGTTGTGGTGGTGGTGGTGGTGCTGCTGCTGCTGCTTGTTGTTGGCGCTGTAGTTGTAGTGGTTGTCGTGGTGCTGCTGGTCGCCGTGCTGCCCCTGGTCGCCGTCGTGGTGGTGGTGGTGCTGGTCGCCGTACTGGTGGTGGGGGCGTTGCTGATCGTAGTCGTAGTGGTTGTGGTGGTGGTGGTGGTGCAGCTGCTGCTGCTGTTGCTGCTGCTGCTGCTGCTGCTGCTGCTGCTTGCTGTTGTCGCTGTAGTTGTAGTGGTTGTCGTGGTGCTGCTGGTCGCCGTGCTGCTCCTGGTCGCCGTAGTGGTGGTGGTGGTGGTGGTGCTGCTGCTGCTGGTCGCCGAGCTGGTGAGTGTGGCGCTGCTGGTCGTAGTCGTAGTGGTTGTGTTGGTGGTGGTGGTGGTGGTGGTGGTGGTGCTGCTGCTGCTGCTGCTGCTGCTGCTGCTGCTGCTGCTGCTGCTGCTGCTGCTGCTGCTGCTGCTGCTGCTGCTGCTGCTGCTGTTTGTTGTCGCAGTTGTGGTAGTAGTTGTCGTGGTTCTGCTGGTCGCCGTGCTGCCCCTTGTCGCCGTCGTGGTGGTGGTGCTGGTCGCCGTGCTGGTGGTGGTGGCGCTGCTGGTCTGGTCGCCGTCGTGGTGGTGGTGGTGCTCGCCGTGCTGGTGGTGGTGGCGCTGCTGGTCGTAGTCGTAGTGGTTGTGGTGGTTGTGGTGGTGGTGGTGGTGGTGGTGGTGGTGCTGCTGCTGCTGCTGCTTGTTGTCGCTGCGCTGCTGGTCGTAGTTGTAGTGGTTGCGGTGGTGGTTCTGCTGTTGCCGCTGCTGCTGCTTGTTGTCGCCGTTGTGGTAGTAATTGTCGTGGTTCTGCTGGTCGCTCTGCTGCTCCTGGTCGCCATCGTGGTGGTGGTGGTGCTGGTCGCCGGCCGTGCTGGTGGTGGTGGCTCTGCTGTTTGTAGGCGTGGTGGTGTTGGTGCTGCTGCTGCTGCTGCTTGTCGCAGTTGTGCTGCCCCTGGTCGCCGTCTTGGTGGTGGTGGTGGTGCTGGTCGCCGTGCTGGTGGTGGTGGCGCTGCTGGTCGTAGTCGTAGTGGTGGTGGTGGTGGCTCTGCTGCTGCCGCTGCTGCTGCTTGTTGTTGCAGTTGTGGTGGTAGTTGTCGTGGTTCTGCTGGTCGCCGTGCTGCCCCTGGTCGCCGTCGTGGTGGTGGTGGTGGTGCTGGTCGCGGTGCTGGTGGTGGTGTCGTTGCTGGTCGTAGTCGTGATGGTTGTGGTGGTGGTGGTGGTGTTGCTGCTGCTGGTGGTCCTGCTTGTTGTTGTCGCTGTGGTTGTAGTGGCCGTCGTGGTGCTGCTGGTCGCCGTGCTGCCCCTGGTCGGCGTCGCGGTGGTGGTGGTGCTGGTCGCCGTGCTGGTGGTGGGGGCGTTGCTGGTCGTAGTCGTAGTGGTTGTGGTGGTGGTGGTGCTGCTGCTGCTGCTGCTGCTTGTTGTTGTCGCTGTAGTTGTATTGGTTGTCGTGGTGCTGCTGGTCGCCGTGCTGCTCCTGGTCGCCGTGGTGGTGGTGGTGGTGGTGGTGGTGGTGATGGTGGTGCTGGTCGCCGTGCTGGCGGGTGTGGCGTTGCTGGTCGTAGTCGTGGTAGTTGTGGTGGTGGTTCTGCTGCTGCCGCTGCTGCTGCTGCGTGTTGTCGCAGTTGTGGTAGTAGTTGTCGTGGTTCTGCTGGTCGCCGTGCTGCCCCTTGTCGCCGTCGTGGTGGTGGTGGCGGTGGTGGTGCTGCTGCTGCTGTTGCTTGTTGTCGCAGTTGTGGTAGTAGTTGTCGTGTTTCTGTTGGTCGCCGTGCTGCCCCTGGTCGCCGTCGTGGTGGTGGTGCTGGTCGCCGTGCAAGTTGTGGTGGCGCTGCTGGTGGTAGTCGTAGTGGTTGTGGTGGTGGTGGTGGTGGTGCTGCTGCTGCTGCTTCTGGTGCTGCTGCTGCTTGTTGTCGCTGTAGTGGTAGTTGTTGTCGTGGTGCTGCTGGTCGCCGTGCTGTCCCTGGTCGCCGTCGTGGTGGTGGTGGTGCTGGTCGCCTTGCTGGCGGTGGTGGCGCTGCTGGTCGTAGGCGTGGTGGTGGCGGTTATGCTGCAGCTGCTGCCGCTGCTTGTTGTCGCATTTGTGGTAGTGGTTGTCGTGGTTCTGCTGGTCCTCCTGCTGCGCCGGCGGGCGGGCCCCCGGGGTGGGGCCGCGCCCGTTCCACCGCATCAGAAACACGGCGGCAGTCGGCTAGGGGCCGGCGTCTCCGTGTAGCGGGCGTCCGCCAGGAGGTCGGCGAGGTGCGGCTCGTCCCCGTCGACGGCCAGGGTGTGCGGCGGCAACTCCAGCAGCGTGGCCGCGAACGCCCTCTGGGCCGCGACCGCAGCCAAGCCTGTCCAGCGGTGTAGGTACGCCGCCCGCGCCGACGCTCGGAGTCGCTGCGGCGCGCTGCGGGCTCTGCTCCTGGCGAGCAGCCGGACGAAGGTCAGGGCCTCCTCGGACCACCTGCCGCCGACTTCCAAGCCCAGCACAACCAATCGGCATCTCCTTGACCCGATGAGCTCGGGGTAGGTCGCTTCCTTCCGGCCCCGCGCGACCGCGAGCTGGACTCCGTCCTCGTCCGCGGCTCTGGGCTGCGCGGTGCCGTCGGTGCGGACTGGCGACACCAGGGTCGCGTCAATCGCCAGCTGCGCTCCTCCCCAGAGCGGCAGGCCGTTCGCGATGACCTCGATCTTGCGCCCGTCGCGGGGGTCGACGCCGTCCACGTTGAGGTCTCGCAGGAGCTGATTCTCTGCGACTCGGCCCCCGGCCTCGCGGCAGATACGCGCAGCCGCTTTCTCCAATGGGATGGATCTCTTCTTGAGCACCCCTGCCCTTGGGCACGCCGCTCTGCGGTCACCTCTGGCGTCCAGTCTGCCTCTGCATCTGCAAGCGCTCGCTGCGAAGGGTAAATCAAATCGCAAGCGCCTGAGGAGCAGGACTCTGAATTCTGCCGGCGGGATGTGGAAGTCCCCCGTCGTGGGCAGCGCGGTGAAGGCTCGTCCCGCGCACGGCCCGCTCTGTGACCGGAGGAGGGCGCGGTCCGGCGGCGTGGAGGCGTTGAGGAGCTGCTGTCGGGCTGTGTTCTCCAAGACTCTGGCGGCCCAGAACTGCCAGCCGTGCGCCCATTCGCCGTGCTCCCGTTCGTGCGTCGGCGGTGGCCGGGCGCCCTGCGCAAGGTCGTGCCAGTTGGGCGCGGCGAAGCCGTGCGCCGAGAGGTGCTCCTTTGCCCTGCTGGCTTGTTGTAAGCACCCGGGAGCGGCCGGCAGCGGGCCCCGGTCCAGCTCGCTCAGTGCAGCGCAGATCTGGTTTGTGAGCTCGGGGCAGCGTTCGCGGAGCATCTGCGCGCAGTCTGCCCAGGAAGCCCACCAGGCCGCCGGCGCCGTCCTGGACGCGCTTCGCAGGCCGAGCCCCCCCATGCAAAGCGGCAGTTGGCAGCGTTGGCGCGCTGACGTGCCTTCTGCGACAGCTTCTTGCGGGAGTTCCAGCAAGTCGGCGAGCGCGTTGGCCAGGTTGTCGTCGTGCGCTGCGGCGAAGGCGGCCGTGTCCTCGGGAGCCAGCGCCCTCAGGAAGAAGTTGGCCCGGGGGTTGGCGCACATGCTGAGCAGGAGCCACGAGGATTGCAGGTCCCCGACGTGTGGTATCCTCGCGAGCAAGCGGCGGTGTTCTTCCAGGATGGCCTCCAGGTGTTGGGCGACGAAAGCTCCGTGGCCTATCGGGGCCCCCAGAACGACCAAGCCCCGGGCTTCCGGCGGTGTGTCTGCTCCTCCTACCCACACCCGGTCTGCTGCTGAGCCCAGCTCTCGGATGCCAAGTGGCTCCTGCCCTCCCCTGTTCCAGACTCGCGTCTTCCCCATGTTCACGCTGATGCCGCAGTGCGCTTGGAGGGCGTCCCGCACGGCCTTGAAGAGGAACCTCGCTCTGTCTGGCGTGGTGACCAAGTACACGTCGTCAAGGAAGGCGAAGATGCGCTCCCCGGGCCAGAGTATGCCTTGGACCTGTTGCAGGGCGGGGTGTTGTCCCAAGGCAAACAGGGCTGGCATGAGCGGGTCTCCTTGCTCTCCTCCTTCCGCCTGGTCGATCGCGTGCCCTTGTTCCGCGTCGTCGTGCCACCAGTACTGCGATCTTTCCCCGTAGAAGAGGCGGCAGAAGGGAAGCAGTGCGCTACCCCTGCCCAGGTTTGCTAATCCTTCGAGCATCGAGTTTCTGGACACGAGGTCGAATGCCCCGATTCCGTCTATGGAAACCACCGTGGCAGCCGGGTCACCCTGGGTGAGAGTCTGCACGAGGTGCGCCACGCATTCCGTGCCTGCTCGGGTCGAGAGTGCGAACTGGAAGGGGGCAGTCGCCTGCTCGACCTCTTCGCCCACTTGCTGCGCCAGCGTGCGGGCTACCAGCCGCCTGAAGACGTCGCCAGTCACGATGCCTCGCACCCTCCCGTTGCTCTTGCGCAGCGCCGTGAGGCGGCCGAGCCGGAGGGCCTCTGCCACGGGGCCAGGGATTTCCGCCCTCGCAAGGAGCGTGGCAGCGTGGTGCAGGAGGTCGCAGCAGTGCTCGTCGTCCAGCAGCGTCTGCAAGTGTTCTCCCGTCATCCCTGAGGGGCCCGGCGCAGCGCCCCGGCGACTCCTGCGCACGTTCGTGAGGAGGCGGTCTGGTTCCAGGCTGGCGAGGCCTTGCGGCGGCGCGCGGGCGGCTCGCTCGCTGAGCTGCTCTCTCGGCTGCTGCAGGCAGCGTGCCGGGTCCCGGAGTTCGTCCAGAGTGGCCTGTGTGCCTGGTGCCACCGCGCTCGCTGTCAGCGCTTGCCGCGCCGCCGAGACCTCGCCGAGGCGGATCAGCTCGCGGGCCCTCTCGCAGCGGCTGCGGAGCTCCTCGTTTTCGTCTGGCGCCCGGCCCCGTCGTGCCTCGGGCGCCCTGCTCTGCCCGTTCGCGTCTCGCTCGGGCGGCCTGCGCGGCGGGCCCGGCTGTGCTTCTGTCAAAAGCTGCGCCCAGTCTCCAGCCTCGAAGCGGGTGAACCTCTCCAGGAGTTGCTCCTTGGGGATCCTTTGCTGCCCCGCCTCTCTCCTCAAGAGCAGTCGTGGGAGCAGGAGGAACAGCTTCCACCCTCTCGCTGCTCCTGTCTCGTCTGCTTCGCCCTCTCGGATCAGCTCCAAAGCTTTGCGCAAGGCGTTGCGGAACGGCCCCCGCGCGAACGCTGGCGCCCGTTGGAGGGTTGGCACGCGGGCCCGGAGCACAGATGCTGCGTCTGTCGCGTCCAGCGCTTCCCTCTCTGCCGCCGTCAAGCGAGCGCGGGCGTGGGCGGGGCGGCGCCCCAGGGGCGCCCGGGGAGGAGCAGCTCGTCCCGCGCCCCCGTCTCGGCGGGGCTGGGCCAGCGGCGCGGGCAGCGCGGGGCCAGAGTTGCTGGAGGCGCTGTCCTCAGTGTCCTCCTCGCTCTCGCTGGCGGTGCTGCTGCTCGAGCTGCCTCCTCCCCCTCCTCCCCCTCCTCTGGTGCCTCTTCCTCTTCGGCCCCCTCTAGCGCCTCGCCCTCTGCTTCCTCTGGCGCCTCTTCCTCCTCTGCCTCCTCGGCCTCTGCCTTCTCCTGGGCCCCCTCCGCTGGCGTCGTCGCTGGGCTGAGGTCCTGCTGGCGCCGCTGGTGGCGGCCTCGGCGGGCGCGGCGCGGCTGCGGCCCACCTGGCCGGGTCGCGGAGCTCGTCTGCGCGCCGGTCGACCCCCCGCGCCAGCACGACCCCCCCGAAGAGCTCGAGCAAGAGGTCCTGGGCGAGGTTGTCGATGTAGCCAGCGCTGTCCGCCAGCGCTCTGACCACAGGCGGCAGGTGCACGTGTCCAGGGCGTGCTCCGCCCCCAGCGGCGATCACGGCATATATCGCCCCTGGGCTGGCCCCTGCGGACTCCAGCCCTTGGGCGAAGGTCTCGGCTGGCACGGGGTCCGCTTGCTGCAAGGCCTCCACTGTCGGCTGCCACCAGTCGTGCGTGAGCGGGTGCGTGCTCCATCCCGCCGCTTCCTGCTGGTCAAGCAGCCCCGCCGCTGCTAATAGCAAGGGCACGTACACGCGTGAGTTGGTTCGTTCTCGTAGTGGGCCCGCCAGGGGGGGCCATCCGGCGAAGCGGCCAGGCTGCCGTTGCTCTGCGGCGGTGGGCGCCTGTTCGGGGCGCGCCTGTCGAGGGTCTCCTCGGGGCAGGGGGTCGGGCCCTGGCCGCGCGCGATGGCACCCTCGCCTGGGCCAGCTTGCGTGCCTGCCGACTTGCCGCGTCGCCGCTCGGGGGGAGCAGCGGCGGCGCGGCGAGAGGGGAGGCGACGCGCACGCAAGGCGAGCACAGGAGCAGCGCCTCAGGGGGAGGCACGCGAGGCAGCACCGCAAAGGAAGGAGGGGTGCAGAGGAGGCGGCGGGGGCACCCGCACAGGCGGACCCCGCCAGGAGAGGGGAGGAAGAGAAGGCGGGAGCAACCGCACAGGCGGACCCCGCCAGGAGAGGAGCGGCACTGCGGAGCTCCCGCCTGACCCCGGCCCTCCACCAGGCCTGCGGGAGGTAGTGGGCGGGCGTCGCTGCACTTCGGAGGCCCACGCGAGGAAGAGCAGCCAGCTCAGGCAGGGGCCCACTTTGATCAGGGGCGAGTCGTTCGGGCCCCTCCGTTTTCGGCGGGCCGCCGAAGCAGAGGCAGAGGAAGAGCAGGACCAGCAACACCAAGGACAACACACGCACACCAAGCGGCATCGCAACGACCACAACCACGACAACTGGAAACAGCATCGAGACCACGACGCGCAGGGTGTCACGCGTACAGGGCGCAGCCACGGCCTTCGCCAAGAGGGGCCACTCGAGGCAAGGGAAGCTGGGCAGGCGCCGTGCCGAGCAGCTTTCACTCGCAAAGGCTTTCGACGGGCTCGCCGACGAGCCGCGAGACAAGACCTAGAGGACGCGATCGCCGAGCACATCGCGATCATGAAGCAGGCGACGGCCTTTCACCGCCGGCGCGCGTTCTTGACAGAGAGGTTTGGCAGAAGGTTTGTCGCCGCCCGACGAGCGCAAGAGGCGGCCAAGGGTCAGGCGCCGCGCGACGAGGACCAGCTGCCGCAGCAACGCCCCGACCAGAGCAACTTGTCTCTGCACCCTGGGCGGCCGCGTTACGGTCAGGCCCCGCGCCGACCGCACAAGAAAACCGAGGCTGACAAGGAGATGGCGCGGGCGGGGCTGCTCGGGGGGCACGCCTGCTTTGGCCCGGCGCCAAGCGCACCACCGCAAGCGCACCCACCAGCACCACAACGAGCAACAAAAAACCGCACAACAAGCACCACCACAAGCACCGCGCCAAGCACACCACCTCAAGCGCACCCACCACCACAACAAGCACCCACCACCACAGCTAGCGCCCTGGAGGGGGGTGGGTACTCCCAGCTCCGGCGCCCGCACCGGCGACAGGACGCTGACCGAGAGATGGCGCGGGCGGGTGTCGGCGAAGTCGCGCCGCTCATAACCAGAGCGCACATCCGCCACGGGCGCCCCGAGAGCAGGCAGCACCGCAGCGACAAGAGCGACGGCAGCCAGCACCAAGAGCAGCAGCACAACGACTACGACCAGCAGCACCACCACGACGACAAGCATCGACAGCAGCAGCACCACCACCACGACAACCAGCACCAGCGGCAGCAACGCCACCGCGACGAGCGGTTGCAGCACCGCGACGACCAGCAGCAGCAGCAGCACCACCACCACCACCACGACCACCAGCACCAGCAGCAGCACCGCAACCACCACGACGACCAGCACCAGCAGCAGCACCGCAACCACCACGACGACACCCTGCACCACCACCGCCACCACCACGAGGACAACCGGCACCAGCGGCAACACCGTCACCACGACCAGCTGCAGCAGCACCACCGCGACGACCAGCAGCAGCAGCAGCAGCAGCAGCAGCAGCAGCAGCAGCAGCAGCAGCACAACCACCACGACGACCACCAGCAGCAGCAGCAGCAGCAGCACCGCAACCACCACGATGACACCCTGCACCACCACCGCCACCACCGCGACCACGGACGGCAGCCCCTTCACAGCAGCAGCAGCAGCAGCAGCAGCAGCAGCAGCAGCAGCAGCAGCAGCAGCAGCAGCAACGGCAGCAACGGCAGCAGCAGGCACCGCGGCAGCGGCCAGGACGACAGCAGCCAGCAGGGCCCTCCGCCACCCCAGACGGCCATTCCAGCCGTCTGGCCGCCAGCCCTCCAGCCCCTTCCGAGGGAGGGGGCTGGCGTCAGCTGCAGCCCGTGCCCCCCAGGGGAAGAGCCCCATTCCCACGGTAGGACTCCCCTGGGGCCAGTTCCCCATCGGGGTTCGCGCGGCTCCGCTGCGGTCCCCGGTGGCGCCCTGGCTTGTGCAGCAAGCCCACAGGAGCAACGCGACAACATGTTCGACCATAAGAGGCGGTACGACTCCCAACAGTGGCGCCGCGAGCAGCAGCACAACGACGACGACAAGCAGCAACATCAGCAGCAACACCACCACGACAACCATCACCAGCGGCAGCGTCGCCACCGGGACCAGCTGCAGCGGCGCCACCACGACGACCAGCAGCAGCAGCAGCACCACCACCACCACCACCACCACCACCACCGCCACCACGACCAGCAGCAGCAGCAGCAGCAGCAGCAGCAGCAGCAGCAGCAGCAGCATGGCAACCACCACAACGACCAGCACCACAGCGACCAACACCAACGACCAGCAACACAGTATGCACCAAACGACCAGCGCCACAGCACGCACCCAACGACCAGCACCACAGCACCACAACACGCAGCCAACGACTGCGGACGGCAGCCCCCTGGCAGCAGCAGCAGCAGCAAAAGCAGCAGCAAAAGCAGCAGAAGCGGCAGCCAGCAGGGCCCTCCGCCACCCCAGACGGCCATTCCAGCCGTCTGGCCGCCAGCCCTCCAGCCCCTTCCGAGGGAGGGGGCTGGCGTCAGCTGCAGCCCGTGCCCCCCAGGGGAAGAGCCCCATTCCCACGGTAGGACTCCCCTGGGGCCAGTTCCCCATCGGGGTTCGCGCGGCTCCGCTGCGGTCCCCGGTGGCGCCCCGGCTTGTGCAGCAAGCCCACAGGAGCAACGCGACAGCCACGGGCGCCGCGAGAGCAGGCAGCACCGCAGCGACCAGAGCGACAGCAGCCAGCACCCAACTGCGGCCACAGGCGGAGGAAAACTACGACGGCGACCAAGACAGCAACGAGCAGCACCACGACGGCGACCAGCAGCACCAGCAGCACCGCCACAGCCACGACGGCGCAAAACAACGGCAGCAGCACCACCGCCACGACAGCCACCAGCAGCACCACCGGCACCACGAGCACCACCCAGCGCTGCACTGACCCAGACTCCCGGATTGACTTGGAGATCTCAGGAAGAACATATTCTTGGAGGGACTCTGAAGTCTCAGGGGGAGGTCAAGGGAGGAGCGCGCGAGGGCAGGCAGTCCCGTGGCGACCAGAGCGACGGCAGCCAGCACACAGCCACGGTAGCAGGCGGCGGCTCCCAACGACCGCGCGCACGACGAGAGCGACCACCACGACAGCGACCAGCAGCAACACCACCGCCACGACAGCGCCCAACAGCAACACCACGACAGCGACCGGCAGCGCCGCCACCAGCACCAGCACCAGCAGTGACACTGGCAGCACCACCTGTACCACGACAGGAGCTGCGCACACCAGGGAGGGACCAGCGAGACGCGCTGTACGGCTACCGCGGACAGCGCGTGGGTGAGGCGAGCCACCCAGGGCCACCGCACAACGACGCTGCCCCAGCCACGCCGCCGCGCGGACGCTCGCAAGCGGACCTGCCCGAGCCAGCGGGCGAGGTTTCGGGCGAATCCGCGCCCCGGCCGGCGGAAGCCGAGACTCCCCCTCGAGAGCTCTTCGGTTCGCCGGGCCGGTCTCTGTCGCCGCTGCCTGCCGGACAGAGCCACTTCAGCGCCGTGTTCGGACAGGCGCCTGCGGCCGAATGGGACTTCTCTGGGCTGTTCGCGCCGCCGCGGGAGACAGCCGAACGCGCGGCGGCGGAGGAGCAGCAACAGCCGCAGCAACCACAGCAGGGGCCGGACTTCCAGGAGCCGGAGCAGCCAGAGGCCAGCGAGGTTTGCTACATGTGCCAGGAGCCGCTCGACGACTCGAGGGTGCAATGGCCCGACTGCGGCCACGTCCCGCACTGCTTCCACGCAGCCTGCCTGGCCCGGTTTCGCCCTCTCCGCCGCGGACTCGCACACCTGCGGAACTCGGGCGGCGATTCCAGCCGGGTAGAGGACGCAGCGTGCCCGCTCTGCAACCACAGGTGGGGCGACGGCCCGAACTCTGCCGCGCGGCTCGCGGAGCTGGCGGGCCACCTTGGGCGCGGCGGGGGACTACCTTTCCGAGGGTGCCGCTGCCTGCCTTGCCGGGGAGTTGCAGGCGACCCGAGTTCCGACGAGGAGCGGGCCAACCGGTACCGAGGGGGGCCCCTCGTGCTGCCGGAGGGGCCGGCACCGCACGCGTTCGCCATGCGCCCGCGCCACCCGGAGCGACCCATGCGATGGCGGCACTCGCGCGGGCCAGATGGGCTGACGGGCAGCTGGGAATGCGCCGCCTGCGATGTCGCCCCGCTCGGTAGCGAGGTCCCGCCGCCGCTGGGCGAGAGGCCGCCGCAGCGCCCTTGCGGCCAGCCAGGGCAGGTCGGGTGGGTCGCCCGGGCCAGCGGGGACGCCGGAGGGCCTTGGAGGTGGCAGGGAAACTGGCTCTGCGAAAGCTGCGCCGCCACAGCGCTGCCCGAGCCAGAGGCCGCACAGCCAGAACGGCCGCCAGAGACAGGAGCAGGAGGCGGGAGCCCGGACCCACCGGCGGCGGACGGCCCACGAACCCAGTTCAGCGGCTGGTCGCCTCCACGACACGCTGCAGAGACCAGCCGCTACCTTAACTCCTGGATGTACGTGCCGCTCCTCCTGGACGCCGCGGGCCAACTTGACGTGCAGGAAGCCGCCGCGTGGCGACAGCACCCTGCTGCAGCACACTGGTGGGAGAACGCCGCGGCGTTCCTCCGAGAGAGGCCGCGCGCCGACGTGTCCGCCTTCCGCGCGGCGGGCCCCCTACTGCCGCAGGCTCTCGGAGACGGGCTGCACGGGGACCAACTGGGGCTGCCAGCGGTGGTAGGGCTCCTTGCCGACGACAGAGGATACGTGCAGCCGATCGCCCAGGACATCGTGATGCAGATCTTCGGGGGGGTGGACTTCATCCGCGCTGTGGAGGTGCAGGCTGACGCCTACAGGGCACGGCTTGCGCGCGGGCTGCCTCCAAGACCCGCCCCGGCAGCAGGGCCTGGAGCACCGGGCCCGCCAGACGCGCGCGGAAGAGGCGCCGAGGAGGAGCCGCAGGCTGAGGGAGAGGGAGGCGCCGCACCAGGCAGAGGAGGGAGAGGCGCAAGAGGAGGCAGAGGACGAAGAGGCGCTGGAGGAGGCAGAGGGGGCAGAGGCGCCCGAGGAGGCAGAGGGCGAGCAGGCGGCAGAGGAGACCTGAGCAGCGACGACGACGACGACGAGAGCAGCGAGGAAGAGGGCAGCCACAGCCAGAGCGACAGCGCCTCCGACAGCGCTGGCCCCGCGCTGCCTGCGCCAGCGCCGCCGCCTGCGCCAGCGCCGCCGCGCAGTGGCGGAGGCCGGCGACGAAACCGGCGCCCGGCGCAGTCTGCCTTCCCCGACGCCGCCTGGGTGCTTCTTGACGCAGTGGACTTGGAGGCCGAACTGCGCCGGCGGGTGCCGTGCATCCGGGCGCCGCCGGCTTTCCTCCGCGGCCGCCTTCGCCAACTCTACCACACGGTCCTCGAGGAGGTCCTGCGCGCAGACGCCCTTCCTGGCGACGCCGACGGGCTGCAGAAGGTGAGGGCGTGGAAGCTCCTGGTTCTCATCTGGCGCATGCTGCTGCGACGGACCGCGAGCACTGGAGCGCCAGGGCGGCGAGAGCTCGAAGCGCGACTGGAGCAGTTCGAGGACGGCTCCTGGGAAGCGCTGCTGGCCCCAAGCCTGCAAGGGCAGCGGCCTCCGGGAGGAGCGCGCGGCGCGGGCGACGCCGAGGCGAGGCGCCAGCGCGTCCTGGAAGACGCGGTGGCGCTGGTCAGAGCAGGGGGCCTCAGCAAGGCGCGGCAGCTGCTCGCCTCGCGCGGGCTGGCGCCGGGCACGGCGGAGACTTTGGCAGAACTGCGAGACCCCGCCCGGCGACCGCCGAGGCCCGCCGCCGACTTGCCGCCTGCCGCCCGAGCCTTCCAGCCGGCTCGACCCGTCGAGCTCGACCGCCGCATCTGGACCGACTGCGTCCGCTCCGCCCCGAAAGGGTCTTCCAGCTCGCTGAGCGGAGCCAGCTTTGAATTGCTCAAGCTGGCCTTGGACGAAGACGAGACGCTCGAGCTGCAAGCTGCCGTGGCGGAGCGCTACGCGCGGGCCAAGATCCCAGCGAGCGTTGCCCGCGCCCTGGGCACAGGCCGCATGACGGCGCTGCTGAAGGACAACGGCCGCGCGCGAGGCATTGTTGCAGGCGACGCCTTCCGCCGGCTCGTGGGCAAGGCCCTCTCCCGGCAGTATGGGTCCGAGATGGGCGACGCCTGCGCGCCGTTCCAGTACGCGCTTTCGACGAGAGCGGGCACAGACAGCGCCGCCCACTTCCTCCGAGCGGCCACGGACTCCGACCCCGCGGCGACCATCGTCAGCATCGACGGCATTGGGGCCTTCGACCACGTGCGCCGCGACCGCATGATCGAGAAGCTCCTCTCGCTGCCGGAGGCTTCTGCCATGGTCCCCTTCGTCCTGCTCTCCTACGGCCAGCCGTCGACGTACCTCTGGACAGACGATGCAGGAGTCGCGCACGAGGTGAGGCAGGGAGAAGGCGGAGAGCAAGGCGACCCGCTCATGCCGGCGCTGTACTCCCTGGCTCAGCATGGCGCCCTGGAGAGAGCCCGCGCGCAGATTCAGCCGGGCGAGACGCTGATCGCCTACTTGGACGACGTCTACATTGTATGCAGACCAGAGCGCGCCACAGAGGCTTTCCGCGTGGTTACCGCTGCCATGCGCGAGTGGGCAGGGATCGAGGCGAACCTCGGCAAGTGCCGCATGTGGAACCGGGGCGGCTTCGAACCAGCAGGGCATCTGTCGTTGGGCACAGACGTGTGGGTTGGCGGCGCCGGCACGCCTGAGGAGCACCGCGGCCTCAAGGTACTTGGCACGCCCCTGGGCACCGCGGCGTTCGCGGCCCGGCTGACGCAGCAGAGGACGGACGAGGAGCGCAGCTTCCTACAAGAACTCCCCAACCTGCCAGACCTTCAGTGCGCTTGGGCGCTCCTGCTGTACTGCGCGGTGCCGAGGTGCAACCACGTCCTGCGCACGCTGCCTCCGACGCTGTCGCGGTCCTACGCCGAGGCCCACGACCGCGGGCTGCAGGAGGCGCTGCACGACCTCCTCGACCTCGACCCCGCGCCAGCTGAAGCAGAGAGGCTCTCCCGAGTGAGCTCGCTGCCGCTCGGCCTCGGAGGCCTTGGACTCAGGTCAGCCGCGCGCACGGCCGAGTGCGCGTACTGGGCGTCTTGGGCGGACGCGCTCCCCATGTTGCGACAAAGAAACCCTACAGCAGCAACGGAGCTCACCGCCACCCTCCTCGCCGGAACAGGCGCCGCAGCCTCGTGCCTCCAGGAAGCTGAGCGCGCGAGGGCTGCCGCCGCCCGCGACGGCTTTGCGACGTGCCCAACTTGGCAGGAGGTCTGGGACGGCGCGCGCCCTGAACAGACAGAGCCAGAGCCAGGCGAGTGGAAGCACGGATGGCAGTACCACGCCTCCGCAGCCCGAGAGCGGCGCTACAGGGAGGAGGTCGTTCTCCCGAGCCTCACAGACGACCAGCAGTGGATGCTCGACTCGCAGGGAGGCCGCTGCGGCGGACGGCACCTGGCCCTGATCCCCACGACGCCAGAAAGCACGTTCACGCCAGAGCGCTTCCGGGCACTGCTCCAGAGACGGCTCCGCTTGCCGCTGGACGCCACGGCAAGCAGGTGCAACGGGCGCTCCTGCCAGGCCCACTTGGACGAGAGAGGCGACCACAGAGCAGCTTGCCCCCGCAGCGGACGCCTGCTGAAGCGCGGCGCTCCCATCGAGCGGATGTGGGCCCGGGTGTGCCGGGAGGCAGGAGGCCGTGTCCGCACCGACGTGTTCCTGCGCGACATGAACCTCCCGGGCATTGCCGCCAACGACGGGCGCCGCATCGAGGTGGTGGCCAACGGCCTCCCTGCCTACCACGGCAGGCAGCTCGCCATCGACGCCTGCATCGTATCCCCGCTGAGGGCCACCGGCAGGCCGATTGCGCGGAGGCTCCGCCCAGGACTCGCGCTGAAACGGGCGAGGCGCCGCAAGCAAACGACTTACCCTGAGCTGGTGGGCTCGCGGCGGGGCTACCTGCTCGTAGCCGGAGCAGAGACGGGCGGCCGCTGGGACGAGGAGGCGTACAAGCTCCTCGTCACCCTGGCCCGCGCCCGGGCGAGGAGCGCGCCGGCGGCGCTGCGAGGATCGCTTGCGACCGCGCTGCTGCACAGGTGGAGCGGCATGTTGGCGTACGCCATCCACGACGCCCTGGCCGCGAGCCTGCTCGAGGACGTGCCCTCTGAAACGCTAGCGACAGACGGGGAGAATCCCTGGCGAGGGGACGTTCTGTCGGCGCTCCCCTGAGAGCACCGGCCCCCGCGTGGGGGCGCGCACGGGCAGGGCGGGGCACAGCAGCTCGCAGGAACGCCGACAGCAGAGCTACTGTGAACAGCACCACAACCACCGCCACCACCACTAGCACAACTACGAACAGCACCTCCACCAGCACGACGACGACCACGACGACCAGGAGGAGGAGGAGAAGGACCACCACGACCAGCACCACCACGACCAGCACCACCACGGTGACCAGCACCACGGCGACCAGCCCCACCACGGCGACCTGCACCACGACTACGCGCCACCACAGCGACCAGCACCACCACGCCCAGCACCACCACGACCAGGAGGACCACCACGACCAGCACCAACACGGCAACCACCACCACGACCAGCGCGACTACGGCCAGGAGGACCGCCACGACCACAACCACGACCGCGGCCAGCACGACTGCTGCCAGCACGACCAGCACCACCACCAGCACGACCAGCACGACCACGGCCAGAGGACCACCACGACGACCACCACCACCAAGACCAGCACCACCACGACCACGGCCGGCACCACCACAGCGACCGGCACCACCACGGCGGCCAGCACCACCTCGACCAGCACCACCACGACCAGGAGGACCACCACGGCGACCAGCGCCACCACGGCGACCAGCACCACCACGGCGACCAGCACCACCACGACCAGCACCACCACGGCGACCGGCACCACCACAGCGACCAGCACCACCACGGCCAGCACCACCACGACCAGGAGGACCACCACGACCAGCACCACTACGGCGACCAGCGCCACCACGGCGACCAGCACCACGATTACGCACCACCACAGCGACGAGCACCACCACCAGCACCACCACGACCAGGAGAACCACCACGACCAGCACCACGACCAGCACCACCACGGCGACCACCACCACGACCAGCGCGACCACGGCCAGGAGGACCACCACGACCACCACGACCGCGGCCAGCACGACCACGGCCAGCACGACCACGGCCAGCACGACCAGCACCACCACCACCACGACCAGCACGACCACGGCCAGAGGACCACCACGACGACCACCACTACCAAGACCAGCACCACCACGACCACGGCCGGCACCACTACAGCGACCGGCACCACCACGGCGGCCAGCACCACCTCGACCGGCACCACCACGACCAGGAGGACCACCACGGCGACCAGCGCCACCGCGGCGACCAGCACCACCACGGCGACCAGCACCACCACGACCAGCACCAACACGGCGACCGGCACCACCACAGCGACCAGCACCACCACGGCCAGCACCACCACGACCAGGAGGACTACCACGACCAGCACCACCACGGCGACCAGCACCACCACGGCGACCAGCACCACCTCCACGACCAGCACCGCGACTACGCACCACCACGGCGACCAGCACCACCACGAGCAGCACCACCACGACCAGGAGGACCACCACGACCAGCACCAACACGGCGACCAGCACCACGACAAGCGCGACCACGGCCAGGAGGAGCACTACGACCACCACCACGACCAGCACCACGGCGACCACGACCACCACGACCACGGCCAGCACGACCAGCACCACCACCACCACGACCAGCACGACCACGGCCAGAGGACCACTATGACCACCACCACCACGATCAGCACCACCACGCCCACGGCCAGCACCACCACGGCGACCGGCACCACCACGGCGACCAGCACCACCACGACCAGCACCACCACGACCAGGAGGACCACCACGGCGACCAGCACCAACACGGCGACCAGCATCACCACGGCGACCACCACCGCGGCGACCAGCACCACCACGACCAGGAGGGCTACCACGACCAGCACCACCACGGCGACCAGCATCACCACGACCAGCACCACCACGGCGACCAGCACCACGACTACGCACCACCACAGCGACCAGCACCACCACCAGCATCACCACGACCAGGAGAACCACCACGACCAGCACCACGACCAGCATCACCACGGCGACCACCACGGCGACCAGCGCGACCACGGCCAGGAGGACCACCACGACCACCACGACCGGCACCACCACGACTACGGCCAGCACGACCACGGCCAGCACGACCAGCACCTCCACCACCACGACCAGCACGACCACGGCCAGAGGACCACTACCACTACCACCACGACCAGCACCACCACGCCCACGGCCAGCACCACCACGGCGATCAGCACCACCACAGCGACCAGCACCACCACGACCAGCCCCACGACCAGGAGGACCACCACGACCAGCACCACCACGGCGACCAGCACCACCACGGCGACCAGCACCACTACGACCAGCACCACCACGGCGACCAGCACCACCACGACCAGCACCACTACGACCAGGCACCACCACGACCAGGAGGACCACCACGACCAGCACCACCACGGCGACCAGCACCACTACGGCGACCAGCACCACTACGACCCGCACCACCACGGCGACCAGCACCACCACGACCAGGAGGACCACCACGACCAGCACTACCACGGCGACCAGCACCACCACGGCGACCAGCACCACCACTGCGACCAGCACCACCACGACCAGGAGGAGGACCACCACGACCAGCACCACTACGGCGACCAGCACCACCACGGCGACCAGCACCACTACGACCAGCACCACCACGGCGACCAGCACCACCAGGACCAGGGGCAGCACGGCGACTAGCAGCACCCCGACAGCAGCCAGCAGCACAGAGGAGGAGGAGGCGGCGGCGGCGGCGGCGGAGGCGGCGGAGGAGACGCTGGCGCTGGCCCGAGGCAGCGCGGCGGCGCGGAGGGCGAACGCACCGCCGCGAGGCGCAGCGCCGCCGCAGGTTCGCGCACGGGCAGAGGGGGGAGGATTCAGCCCTCCTAAGCCACACCCTCTGCCCAGCGACCTGCGGCGGCGGGCGCGGCGACCAGCGGCGGCAGGACCGGCGGCGAGGCGCGGCGGCCTGCGGCCGACCTGCGGCAGGCGGCGACAGGCCAGGCGCCGCGGCGAAGTGCGGCGGCCGGCGGCGGCGCGGCCGCGCAGAGGCCGAAAGCTGCGCCGCCAGCGCCGCCCCGAGGGCGGCGGCGGCGGCACCGGCTGGCGGCGGCAGGCCCGGCGGCGCGGCGCTGCGACGAGCGGCCGGCCGGCGACTGGCGGCGACGGGCCGGGCGCCGCGGCACAAGGCGCCGGCTGGCGGCGGCGGCTGGCGGCGGCTGGCCGAGGGCGCCCCGGGCGCTCCTGGGGCGCCGAGGGGCTTGGGGCAGCTGAGCGGGAGGCCCCCGGCGGGGCGGCTAGCTGGCGGGAGGTTCGGGGTTGCCCTGGCTTCGGCCGAAAACCCCCCGCTCCTTCGGGGCGCGCCCCCGCCCCACACTCACCGTGGGCGCGCGGGGGGTCCGCGCTGGCCGCAAGGGGACGCGGCAGCCTTGGGGTAAGGAAGGGGAGGAGAAAAACAAAAACAAAATAATAATAAAAAAAAAAAAAAAGGCATTGCCCGCCAGCCCGCTGGGCCCGCGAGAGTGCCGCCACCGCAGGGGTTGGAAATGTCGCGGGCTGACTGCGATGGCGTGCGGCGCGGGCCCTCCTGGCTGCTCAAGGGGTCCTCCTGCGTAAGGGTCCGCCTCCTCCTCACTTGGCGGGCCGGCCGCGGCTCGGCAGCGTGAGCACCTGCACCCTCGGGTGGGGTAGTCTCCAGAAGCGTTCAGGGATCCAACAAAGCCCGCGAGCGCCGCCACGCCACCTGGCGAGTCCCCCCACGGGCTGTTGCAAAGGGGGCATGGCGACCTTTCGGCACGGGATGCGTCACCTGTGTGGTACAAGTGGGCCAGGCCCGCCCGTGTCGGCCGATGCCTCGCTGCGCACGCTGCGTGGAGGCGGCGGGGGACATGGCCGCAAGCTGGCCACGTCACGGTGTCCCCTTCGAGCGGCGTCTGGCAGATGGCGCATTCCTCCCTGTCTGGCCGGTCTGGCCCCTGCTGTTGCTGCGGTGGCTGTCGCTGCTCCTTGGCCGCCTCGCGGCCTGGCAGCGGCAGGGAGAGGCCCGAGAAGTCCCACCGCCTTCCCTCTGGTTCAGGGGGCGCTGCCGGCCAGGCGCCGAAAATGCTGGCGAAGTGGTTCAGCTGCGGTGGCGGTGGCGGTGGTGAGGCCGACCGCGCGCCCGCTCGCGAGTCTGGCGTGGCAAACCTTTCTGGCGCCGACAGCATGTGCGGCGGCGTCTCCGCGAGCGCTGGTACCGGGGCAGACTCTCCCAATCTGCGTTCCGGCGTGCCCGGCGGCTCGTCGGCTGGCCCGGGGGGGCCTGGGTGGCTAGCTTCGCCGACCCGTTGTCCGCGGTAGCCGTAGAGCGCTTCCCGCGGACTCCTCGCCAGCGCGCCCTGCTCCTGTCGTGGTGGTGGCGGTGCTTGTGCTGGCGCTGGTGCTGGTGGCGGCGCTGTCGGTCGCTGTCGCGGTGCTGCTGCTGGTCGCTGTGTTTGCGGTGGCGTTGGTGTTTCTGCTGGTCGGTGTCGCAGGGTGTCGTTGTGGTGGTTGCCATGCTGCTGCTGCTGCTGCTGCTGCTGCTGCTGCTGCTGCTGCTGCTGCTGCTGCTGCTGCTGCTGCTGCTGCTGGTCGTGGTAGCGGTGGTGGTGGTGGTGGTGGTGGTGGTGGTGGTGGTGGTGGTGCTGCTGCTGCTGCTGCTGCTGCGGCTGCTGCTGCTGCTGCTGCTGCTGCTGCTGCTGCTGCTGCTGCTGCTGCTGGTCGTCGTGGTGGTGCCGCTGCAGCGGGTCGCAGTGGCGACGCTGCCGCTGGTGATGGTTGTCGTGGTAGTGGTGTTGCTGCTGATGTTGCTGCTTGTCGTCGTCGTTGTGCTGCTGCTCGCGGCGGCCTTGTTGGGAGTCGTGCCGCCTTTTGTGGTCGAGCATGTTGTCGCGTTGCTCCTGTGGGCTTGCTGCACAAGCCGGGGCGCCACCGGGGACCGCAGCGGAGCCGCGCGAACCCCGATGGGGAACTGGCCCCAGGGAGGTCCTACCG